CATATAGCGGAAGTGTATTTCGTTAAGGTTCACTGTACCAAGAACAAAACGCTGATATCTATCTGAAAAATACGTTAGCTGGTCCCAGTAGCTTGAATATTTCAGCCCAGATATAAATTGCAATTTTTTGGAATCTTGCGCAAGTATCACCTTATAATTAATATTTCGTTTTACAACATTAAAATAATACTAACAATTATTAGATACAACAATCGTTAATAGAATTCAAAATAATTTATTATCGATTGATATGTAAATAACAATTATATTTGGATATCTTATCGTATTTTCATCAGACTTTTTATAAATATTTGTACCTAGTATAGACATATTCTGAACATTGCTGTAAAATATTACATGTTCCTATTGTTATCAATAATATTGGGTTTGCAATTCTTTTCACAAGTTTACTATTTTTGTGTTAGCTTCTTTTTTATTTGGACATTTTAGTAGCATCTTTATTTTTACTTTATAGATTTTATTTTTCGATAAAGAAGCATAATAAAGATCTAAAATATTTATAATGCGATGTGAAAAGATCATAGGAATCAGTGAAATTGATTATTTGCAAGACAATTTTCTAAGTTTCACTGTTAGTTGCGTGCGTAAATGTATTAGATTGCTTAAATGAAAAAGAGACGGGCGTTGTGGCAGCCATCCTTGGCGATAATATCAAAACGTCTGTTATGCATATTTGATGTTGCATATGCAATGTTATGTGTACATGACGTGCACGTGACGTCACTGTTCTTGAATAGGAAATATTGACAAGGAGCACAATCAGTTGCCTTAGTATCCAATTTACTTGTTAAGCGAAAAAATAACGTTTTTACTGGAAAATTTATCTAATGAAGAGCAACGTGTGGTAAATATATGAACCAATATTGAATTTTTAGTGCCACATTTAAGCGAAGTTTACATAAGAAAAGTTTATATTGAAAAAAATATATATATGTATCTTAAAAAGAAAATCTAAACCTTTCTATTTGTTTTCAATCGAGCGCTATTGCTCTTTTTTTATGAGCAGGCAAAGTTAAAAAATGCTTTTTGCTTCAAAATCAATAAATATGCAAATCGAAGATAAAACTTTACTTTTTTGGAAAGTATAAACTAGTTAGTGTATAATTTTTAATTTATTATGGAACTTTGCAAAGTTTTTACAAATAATAAAATATTTAGATTTAACGAATCTATTTGTATCCGTATATGTTCATAAAAATTCAATCAGATCTTTATCTAGAGCAGTGATCTGAAAAGAGATTTCAAGTTTTTGAATCATCTCATTATAATCATTTTTTGCTCTCTTCCCATTTTTGAAAGATATAATAGGTGATCCCATCCCTTTAATTTTTTTACGTAGTGTAATGAATAAAAAAATTATGAATGGTACAAAAATTTATAACATTTGTAATAAAATGATGTTAAAATAATTTAAATAATGTTCACTGTTAATAAAATAATGTCAAAATAATGTTCATTAAGAAGCAAGTACTTGCCATCGCCAAGGACTGTCAAACTCGAGATACCATCTGTATAAGTAAAATTTTGACCTGCTACAGAGACAATAACATCACGTCGATTCACGAAATCAGATTCGATTCTGCATATACTTTTTTTAGATGAGTCATAAACTATTTAAACCGGAACCTTGGATATCAGCTATAAATATCTATATATATTTGTGTGTGTTAAATCATTTAAATTGCAGATATAAGGGAGAATTGTTGAATGGGTATCGATCATTAACATATATACTTAACATATATACTATCAATATTTTATATTTTCGCATAATATAAGCGACATTTAGTAATAAAAAATGAAGAAAGTATAATATAAAATAGAAAGTATAATACAAAAATTTAATAGATTATATTTTGTTTTGTATATGCTAACAACATTAAAAAAAAATCATCTATTCGTGTTAGCTTTTGATTAATTTATCTTTTGGTAACAGTATGACTGAAATAATTTTATCACAATTTTATTCTGAAATTTTATCGTACTGAGATTATACTGTGATTATAATGAAGTATACTATTAAAAGAAAATGTTCTCACAATCATTTCATCTAGGAACCGCTTGCATGTTTTAGGATAATAAACAATAGGTGTTGCTAAATGTCCAGCACCTGTTCGATTAGTCGCAATGTCAAGTGGGATGTAAATTATTTTAACTAGTGTATCGTTCTTTAAATTAAAGATCAACAGGATTGTTGATTTAGACAAATTTGATCGAATTCGATTTTGCCGTTATCCAGAATGACAATGTGATTGCATTGAATCTGAAGTGAAAGTAAAAATTCAATTTCTTGTATTTTTTACATCAAGCTCATCATTGTGTAGATACGTAGTAGAGAAGTGCGAATCAAGATTTTTTTAATGTTTAATCAAATTGAATCAAATTTAATTTCTTTGTTCGAATTTAAATCGAATTCGAACCGTATTGAAACATAATTTTTAGTTAACAACAACGTAATTATTGTTAGATTGAATTTTAATATATAGTAAATAACATAAAGTAATGAAAAAAATTTCTAATATATGAAATATATATATATATATATATATATATTTTTTTTTTTAATAAAAAGTAAAACTCTTAAAGTGACTATATAAGTATTAGTTAAATTTTATAATCGTAAGTTAAACTTTCGCTAATAAAAATATTCATATTCATTTTTTAATAAAACTTTTACAACACTTTTTTAAGAATAATCTGGCATCTAACCTTCTGCTTTATCTGCATTAATTAACATACACATGTCAAGGGTCAAGTGCAAGAATTTATCGCGTCTTCCTTCTGCTGCTCACTTTTCCATTTATATGCACAATATTTCCATTTATGAACATTTACTTTGAGTTCAAAGCTCATAATCGCCGTCGACAGAATTAGCATGGTTTAATTTAACACAAACAAAAAATGCCCTATTTTTTTTATCGTAACGGATAGCTGATAAATAATGCTGTGCCGTTCAAAGTACAAAATGAGACTCACTGTTGGGATACGAATCTGTCTTAAGAATTAAAATTTCGAGTTTCAAGAGAATTAATTATTGCACAGATGTTTTAATTAAGTATAATTACCATATCGGCAGAATTATTGTTTTGTTTTGTCTGCAATTATAGTCTTCTAATATAGTTGCAGCGAAAATATTACAGTAAAATGTTGCTTGAATTACAAAAAGTTAACAGATTGTCGGAAAAAAAACGGTATGTCCGGTGTTTCTCTGTTTTTATTGTAACAAAGGCTTTCAAAGTTTTAATGTTCCATGTTTGATTTTTTCGCAACAAATTGCATTTGCTTATAGCATGCAATAAGTTGTATAAATTAGTTGTATAAATTTGTTAACATATGTGTGTCTTTTAGCAATTAAGTTGTGACTTTTTGGGTTGCAACAATAAAATAATATAATTGAACTGTATCGATAGACACGTATATCACAAATGCGAGTGAGGTAACGATTATTTGCTATTTATACCTTTTTTTCACAATATACACAAATGCTTTTAAAAACCCCCTTTATACAACTTATTATAATTGTAGATTAGTTAATCTTTCGATTCGGCTGTAATGACACTTAGATAACTTATTACGCATACATAATGACATATTATTTCTTCTTCTTTTGTCTGAACACTTACGATTGGACCTTACCCTGCGAAGATAAAGGGGTGGTCTGAAACACCCGGTATAATATGTTATTCTATCATCAAGGCTATGAGGAAAGGAAATTAACTATGTAATTTTTATTTTATTTGAGTTATTTTTGATCGCCAATTTTTGCATAAAGTAGCCAATACAATAATTAATTTTATTGATCTTTTGGTATGGAAAACGAATCTGTATTTGCAGAATTGCTCTATTACATTACATTTTGAAGCTATTTTTAAATATATAAAAAATATCTTTTTGCTCTTTTAAGTTTAATTTTTTCAAAAATACAATATAAATGGACAGTTAACGGGTCCGTTTTTTGCAATTATAAGAACTATCTTGTCCGATTTATGGTTTAAAAAGAGATTTCTTTTGTCGAATAATGTAATTAGGTCTGTGACTTTTTGGATCACACACACACAACAAGGTAAAATAACTAAACTATACCTGTAGTATTAGACAGTTAGACATATATGTATATTGCAAATGTGAATGACGATCGTTTATCATTTTTTTCTATACAATATATATAAAAATGTTGTATGTATGTGTTTTTAAAGGCTTTATCATATAAAGTATCATTGTAAGTGCACTCTCATTAAAAGTTTTTCGAATCATACATAACATACAGTACATATAATGACGAACGGAAATGTAAACACGGAATGCTACTTTTGTAATAAAATGATGGTACTCAATATTTATGTTAGTTATTAATAAAATAAACATGTATAAATTAGAAGATAAGGTATTGTATAGATTAGAAGATAATATGTACAAAACGTAATACTTTATTTTTGCACTATACTTACTGTTTGCAATGTACTTGTATTTCATTCAAATTTAAGTATTTCAGTGAACAGAAAGAGAAGTTTTTGAAAATTACATTTTAAAGAGGAAAAATAGAATTTTAAATTGGCATTTGAATTTCGTTTCTATGATATTTTGTTCCTAAAATACATAAAATTAAAAATTTATATTTCTTTCAATATTTTTGTTATATTTTGAAGCATTGTTCTTGGTTGAAATATCAGTGGACTAAAAACAAATAAGCATTTTAAAGTAGACTTTCGAAGCTTTAAAAAGCTTTTTGAAAAAAATACGATGAATTTTCATAAAAATTTTAAATTTTTATTGTTTAAAATTTTATTATGTAAAAACTTACTTTATCTAAAATATATTTTATAACTTCGTAACTAAAAAATTTATGAAAAAAAGACAAAATTTATTGTAATATGATTATTTATTTAGTATTTAATGTTAACAGTTGCACTCAATAAAGATATTATTATTATTAAATCATAAAAATTTTTTTCAAAATTAAAAAAAAAATTTTTGACCTTTTCAATTTTTATAAACATTTTGTTTACTTTTTATGGATTCAAACTTCAAAGATAAAAGTTGCGATGACGAAATCAAAGGCATTGTACACGTTTTTAGATTACGTTGCAGGCCATTCCATCCTTCCTCGCTTTAATGTTGTATATGAATTGCCGTGGAGTGTGTTAGCTATTCGTTTATCGCTTTATATCTATACGTCGTACACGACTTCTTGAGCACTAACACATGACAGATACGGATGTAGAAGTGGACTTCTTGATCCTGTCTTATCAGTCACTGTCGCCAAAGTGGCAGGTGAACTAGGGTCAATTTCTCTTGGCGCAGTAACGAATACTCTACCATCTATAAGGATTTTGTTTGTGAATGGAACTTATCTTCTACTAAAAGATATAAAGTAAACATTCCAGTGATTGAACATGTACTTATGTCCAGAACTCGTACACATACAAAATTTCTTATTATTGATATATTTAAAATATTTTTTATTAGAATATTATAATTTAATTGATATTTAAAGATATAAAGATTATAATTAAATTATAATTTTTAAAAAAGCATTTATATATATATATATATATATTTGTATATATATATATATATATAAAATAAAAATAATAATCATAATTTAATTGTATTTATTCAATTAAACGTAAAATTGGTTACGATGAGAGTTTTCATAAAAATTTTGAATTTTTATTGTTAATGTATTTAAAATTTTATTATGTAAAAACTTACTTTATTTAAAATATATTTTAACTTCGTAACTAAAAAATTTATGAAAAAAAGACAAAATGTTTATTGTAATATGATTTTATTTTTAAAATTAAAAATAAATTTTCGTTAATAAAAATATTAATATTTCTCAACAAAATCCTTTCAACTTTTTCAAATAATTTGTTATCAACTTACTATTTACTCTTTTTGCATCGATAAATATGCTCATGTAGGAGCTGTAAGCGTCAGAACTTATTGCGTCTTCCTTCTGCTGTTCACTTTCCCATTCGTACTGACAATGTTTCCCTTTATGAACAACATTTACTTCTAATCCAAAGCTCACAATTGCCGTGGACAGAATTGGTAGGGCAAACAGAGAATGTCCCATTTTTTACCGTAACGAATAGCTTATAAACAATAATGTTTTATTGTTCAGAGTACAGAACGGGATTTGCTGTCGAGATATGAGTTTGTCTTGGCGGTTAGAATTTCGAATATCAAGAGAAATATTGCATAGGTATCCGTTTAATAAAATATTTACTGTAAAGATACTTACTGTAGAGTTATTATTTTATCTTCTCTGCAATTATAGTCTTTTTAATATAGTCAAAATAAAGATATAGTAAGATATTGCTAAAATCTCACAACTGTTAATAGATTTTTAGAAAAACATTGCACTGACGCATTCGATAGTTTCTCTATTTTTGTAAGTAGATTATCTTAATGTTTCATTTTGATATTCACAACAAACTGTATTTGCTTATGGAATACAATAAACTGTGCAAATTACTAAATTTTTGAATACATGTGTCTTTTGATAACTAAGTCTGTTGTGACTTCTTTGGGTTGCAACAATAAAACAGTGGGTTATAAAACAATGGTTGAACTGTACCGGTAGACACGTATATCACAAATACGAGTAAAACAATGACTGCTTGCTATTTTACAAAATATCTTTTTTACAAAAATACGTGAAAATGCTTTTAAAAAACCATATTATATAACTTATAATCATAATTGTAGTCCAATTAAAGTTCATCCGAAATGGCATTATTATTAGTGGCAGTTTTAGATGACTTACGTACATAGTAACATGCAAGATATAGTTATCTCATCAACGAGGCCATCAAGAACAGAAAGTAATATTATTTTGTCTTATATTTTTCTTATTTTTTAAATGTGAAATAAATATTTTTTAATTTTCTTGAGATCAAAATTTGTATTTGTTTTTGCGTTTTTTATTAAATAACGTAAATACGCTTTTATTGTATAATAATGTAATCGTTATTTTTTAATATAATTCAATATACTTAATAATAATTAATAATATTTTTCATATTGTTTTTTTATTAATGGCTTTGATAAAAATAGGTGAACAATTTAAGAGAGGGGGAGAGAGAGAGAGAGAGAGAGAGAGAGAGAGAGAGAGAGAGAGAGAGAGAACACTACTGAAAGTTACTGGCCCTATATTATTAATTAACTGGGATGGCATACAAAATGATATTGAAGAAAACATCAAATTCTAGTATAGATGTGACATTGACAATCGATATTGCGCCAGATTTAACTTAATACTGAATCAATATTGGCATACAATATCTTACAGTATTGAAATTTCAGCTTCCGACATTGGACTAACATTAAGCCATTTATAAATCCCTATCTTGGATGTTTCTTTTTATTATATATTTACTAATATTTTTTATTATACAAGGGTAGTTCAAATATGAACAAAACTTTTTTGTGTGAAAAATCAATGATAGACGTATTGAGTGACAAGTGAGGTATTTGCTAACTTCTATACATAGTTGTGACACAGCAGTAGTTGTTTCTGTTGTTGCAATTTACGAACAAATAGTATTCCATTGCGCAACGCAATGTCCAAATTCATTGTGTACATTGATTGAGTTTCTTATGAATGAAAATGTTAAAGCTGTTAATATTTTGCATAAAATATATGTATAATTCGGAAAAGTTATTGAAGGCACAAATGTGCAAAGGCTCTCAGTATTATATTTGCTCGCGTATAGCAAAAACTGCCATGAGGCTATAATTAACAGATACCCCTACTCGTCATTCTATAAATATGTCTAACATTAATTTACAAAAATCATATAAAAAAAAAGTCTTGCTAAATTACCCACACATATTCATACATATATATCATATAACAAATATGTCATTAATTTCTTTTTTCTTCATTTATTGACTTTATTTTGTTCTATTATGTCGAAATTATTTACCACACTAAAGATATTGTCCCTAATATGTTTAATTTATACTGACTGTAAGTACACTCTATAATTGTCCAATTACAGTTTGTTCATTTTCGCATGACTTTATTTTTTATATATAACATTTTTATTATTTACAAATAATAGAGAAAGAATTAATTACAATAGCCTGAAAAATTTAAAAAGTCTTTAACAAATGACGTATGTTTTGTCTTAACTTCTAAAAATAAATATTTTCATTGAAATCGCAATCGTGCCATCATATAAATAACTATATTGCATGCTTTTTATGTTGAAATTATCCGTTTTGATAATTATATTTAGGAGATAAAAATTAGCCCAAGATTATACAAAAAAATTAAGATTATGTAAAAATTTCAAAATAGTTTATTATTTGCTTACATATCAATTAATTATTTTTATATATATGTATAATTCACAAATTCTTAAATTTTCTTAAGAATATTGAAGAGACAAGATTTTTTGCAGATCAAACTTTTGCAATACAGAATTATGAATATATATAATTCTTTTTCTTACGTATTTAATATAAATTTTAATCTTACATATGTTTAAATATGTATAATGTTGAAATATTAAAAATCAAGTTTTACGTAGCAGTAGTTGAAGAAAACAAATCTATTTTTTCCCGCGCGTATATCTGCTAAATCCATTTCCATATAGCGGAAGTTTATTTCATGTAGATTTACTGTACTAAGAGCGAAACATTGAAATTTACTTGAAAGATACGTTAGCTGATCTCAAATAGATGAATATTTCAGTCCACCTATACCTTGCAATTTTTTGCAGTCTTGCGCAAGAGTACCACTTTAAAATTAATATTTCATTTTGCAATGATAAAATCGTATTAACAACTATTAGTTAAAACAGTAATTTAAAAAACTGAAAATAATTTATCATTGATTGATATATACTCTCTAAATATGAATCAGTGGATAGTTACTAATTTTCCAGTGGCATACTACTCTCTAAATATGAATCAGTGAAGTTCAACTAAAAAAAAAGAAGAATGTGTGAGCATTGTATTTTGTATAATTAAAATACTGATATTTGAACATTAATTTCAATCTTCTATTACTATATTCTTTGAATTTATACACTAAAACAAGGTTAATTGGATCACATAATAAAGATTAGATAGATTAGGAATTCAGATTTCATTCATGATAACCAGCGGTATACTTAGCACTGATATCGGTGTTATCCACTGATTCAGATTTAGAAAGTAAAGAATAATTATGTTTGGATATCTTATCGTATTTTTACCAGATTTTTTATGAACATTCGTGCCCAGAATAAATATTTCTCGAATATTGCTATAAAAATATTACAACTTCCGCTGTTGTCAATGGTATTATTTGATTTGAAATTTTTTACGAGTTTACTTTCTTTATCAGCTATTTCTTTATTTGGACATTCTAGTAGCGTCATCTAATGCTAAAATTTTGTTATCATTAACAACCCTTATTATAACATTTACAGATGACCTTTAATATTTATTGCACGTTTATAACAATATGCAATTATGTTATGATGCATACATATATTATTTCTTATCGTCTATCAACAAGGCTATCAGGAATGGAAAAATTTTTGTTGTATATACAGAGTGTCATTAAAATACGACACAACCCATTCTGAGCAGGATGGACTAAACTGAATCGAAAAGTTCTTTACCATTTTGCGATTTTCGCAATGGTTAATGAAATATTAATATAATTATAATTATTAAAAATCGTTAAATATTGTTTTTCAATAATTTTTTACTCAAATACTATGAACTTCATAGAAAAATTGTAAGAGATAAAAATCATTCATTTTCTTCTCATAAAACTTAAGAATTTTTTAATAATTATAATTATATTATTATAATTATATTTTTTTATCAATTTTTTAGTACTGCATTTTCTTATTTTTATCACTATGAGAAAATATGATATTAAAAAATTCTGAAAAAATTCTAAAAATTCTCAGAATTTTATAAGAAGAAAATAAACCATTTTTATCTGTGCTATTTTTCTGTAAAGTATTTGAGTAAAAAATAATTGAAAACCAATATTTAGCGATTTTTAGTAATTGCTATCTTGTTAACCAATTGCGAAAAATCGGAAAATGATAGAGGACTTTTCGATTCAATTTAGTCCGCTCTACCTGTTCAGAATGAGTGGTGCCGTACTTTAATGACATCCTGTATATAATATATATGTATTTTTTAAATTTTTCGTTTCTATTTTTTTCAATTATGCGATAAAAATATCTGAATTTTTTTTATCGAACTTGCATTTGATTTCCTTCGTTAAATAATATAAATAATGTGCCATTATTGTATAATGATATTATTTTTTATTGGAATTTAGTTATATTTAATTGTCAATAGCATAAATATTGCGTTCCTTTTTATTAATGATTTTAATAAAGAATAAATAAATGATTTTATGCATAATTAACCCTTAGTACAAACATTTAAGTAATTCGTATCTTGTACATTTCTTCTTTTCGAAAAACTAGGCACATGAAGTAACTGGTTGTAACATTTATATATACAATTTTTTTTTTAATATGTTATAACGCTATATCAAAAATATATAACCTTTCTAAAATTGTTAAAGTTAAAGTATATGTCAGAATCATTTAATATATTAATTTATACAAGATACATGTTGTTACAAGATCCATTCAATAAAACATTTGAACACAGCATAATTTATTTTCGATGTGGATTATTCATCTTACTAAAATAAAGATTAAAATTTGCAAAGAGTCCACTATATTTTCTTCTTGTTAATATTTTCATTTGAAATGCCGAGTTTTCTTTGTATTATCTCTGAATTCACTGGCATCCAAATTCATCACACTTGCGAATTTTATGACAGTTTAGCACATACGATCAGTTTAGCACACACGATCAGGTTTTGTACTAATTAAATCAATCGCTGGAATTTGCGATTCGTGAAAAACGTTAATTATTGTTAACTCATTGTTAACTCATTATTTTCAATTACGCAACTATTCAATGGGATCACTGATACCTCGTCATTAACTCTTGATTCGTTTTCCTTAGAATTATGTGTTTCAATTTATTTATAACCTTTCAGATATGAGTCACTCGGCATCAAATATTGCACACCAAGGGGATTAAAAATTCAAAGACTATCCTCTTGAAGTAAATTGAATTTTTCTTTTCGTATTTCCACAATAACGTGCGTCTAAAAATTTCAAATTAGTGTTCACAAAAGTTTGCAATAATTCGCAATATCTGCTTAATTAAAGAATTATTACTGTATCATATGCCTAATACGACTATTATATCGAGCAAGTAATGGTGAACAAAAAACACATTATAACAAAGTGAAATAAAACAATATTTAATTCAATGTCTCGTGAGTGGTTCGCTCAGTAAAAGACCCGAAACTCTATTTGCTCCATAGCTAACAATTTCAACTAATGCATGGTATTAGCACATGATATCGC